CCACTGAAATTTGATAAAGAAGGAAGTCATTGGTTAGTTAAAGAGATATGCAGTAGAATGGAACAATAACACAAAGAGAAACAGAGATGAGAAATCATATGGTCCCTGAGACAGATGAAAAAGTAGCAGCTTCAGTCCCTTAGCAGCTTCAAGAAGAAAAGTGAACTTGGCAACAGTCCAAAAAAAAAAAAATCTAGTGCCTTGGTGGACCATAAGTTCATTATGAACTGACATGTGCCTCAATATTTTTAAAAAATAAGATTGGAAAATTAGCTCCATATTCTGGAAGAGCATTTTAAAATATTCTTAAACATTTAATCTTAAAGCCTGTGAACAACAGGGGAAGAAATGAGAACAACTGTTTCATTTCTTATTGTTTTTGGGAAACAAGGATTTGCATTGGGGATTTTATTTTTTTAAGTTTGTTTGCTTGTTTCTTTCTTTCTTTCTTTATTTAATCTCTACACCCAACCTGGGGCTTGAACCTACCACTCCCAGATCAAAAGTCGCACGCTCCTCTGACTTGAGCCAGCCAGACTCCTGTGTTGGGGATTTTTTAAAAAATATTTTATTTATTTATTTGGCAGACAGAGAGCACAAGCAGGCAGAGGGAGAGGGAGAAACAGACTCCCCGCTGAGCAAGGAGCCCGTTGTGGGGCTCGATCCCAGGACCCTGGTATCATGACCTGAGCCGAAGGCAGCCGCTTAACCAACTGAGCCACCCAGGCGCCCTGGGGTTTTTTTTTTTTTTTTTTTTTTTAGATTTTATTTATTTATTTGACAGAGAGCACAAGCAGGGAGAGTGGCAGAGGGAGAGGGAGAAGCAGGCTCTCTGCTGAGGAGGGGGAGCCTGATGTTGGGCTCAATCCCAGGACCCCAGGATCACAACCTGAGCCCAAGGCTGTCGCTTAACCAACTGAGCCACCCAGCCGCCCTGTGTTGGGGATTTTAACGGAGGCTGGGTTTTGATTTTTAAGAACAATCGGGTCCTCTTGGGCAAGTCTGAAAATAACTCAGATGCTTCCTAATCCAGGTGTAGAGTCCTATCCCTGGAGAAACAGCTGAGAAAAGATACTCTAGAGCAGAGAGCTCAAGGACTGGCAAGCCCGTGAGTCATGCAGATATGTTTATTTGCTAACCGGCAGTGCTTTTAAATTGTTTAAATTGATTGCCAACATCTGAAAATCAGATTTCACATAAGGACCTAGATTGCTGGTCTCTTTGGAATAATAGGAGTATCTGGCCATCCAAGGCCCTTCTTCCGTCACTGTGGCTGGGGCTGAGGAGTGGCTGCCCCTTTAGATCATCCCATTCCTCGGTCTCTGCTCAGTACCCTTTGCTCCCTGAGACCATCTTGCTGTTTGCTCTAGTTACCTGAGTTATATCCTTGGCTATGGAATTTACTGCTTATTTTGACTTCACTTGGAGATGGAGGTGATAGCCAGTTATTTGAAAACTGTCAAAAATTCAGTTCATCAAACACTGTAAAATAGTATTTGACTCATTTCTCTCCAAATTTGATAAAAGCCTTTTTGACACTTCAGAAAAATGGAAATCTGGCTAAAATATAGACACTTGTTTTATTCTGTAGAAATCGCCCTTGTGAGGGACATGAGGCATATGGCAAATCTCAAAAAGTTTATGATTTTTAGTAGTCTTTGTGAATTTAATTTTAAGTAGAAGAACTTTTTAAATAAGATCCATTTATAATTTGAAACGAGTGACTAAAAAATGCATCTATTGAAAGTTTGATTAAATAGAATGTTTTTGTTAAAACTACTTTACAAAAAGTCATAACTCAATTTCTGGACTTTATTCCCGTGCATACATGATTAGGACAAATTCGTATCCAAATGACACTGTAATAAGCAGCTTTGAGAATTTTTTTTTTAAAGTAGTCTCTATGCCCAACGCGGGGTTTGAACTCACACCCCTGAGATTAAGAGTCACACGCTCTACCTACTAAGCCAGCCAGATGCCCCATGTTTTTTTATTTGCAGTTATTTCTCTAGGATAAGTTTCTAGAGCAGGTTACTTGATCAAAGGAAATGAGCCTTTTTTATGGTTCTTGGTTTGTTTTGCTAAATTATTATAGAAAAAAATGATTTACATTATATCTAGCAAGATATGGATATGAAGGTACCTGTGTTTTTTCTTCCCAAAACCCTCCCAGAAATTGGTTTTTATGATTTTTACTCATTTGTGTAAAAACTATTAAGTGGAATTATGTATCTTGAAATTAATTAGGAGCTAGATGTTTGTATCAGTTAGCTATTGTTGTGTAACAAACCATCCCCAAACTTAGTGGCTTAACAGCGATTTATTATTTCTCACAAGTCTATAGGTTGGCAGGACTGTTGTGCTTGCTCACAGGTCCGTGGTTAGTTGGTGGGTTGGGGACTGGCTGGTTTAGGATGGCTCATCTGCCACAAGGGGGCTCTTTTTCATGTGGCCCGGCATCCTCCAGCAGGCTAGCTCAGGTGTGTCCTCATGGCATGGCTGGGTTCCAGGAGAGTAAAGGCCACTTGAGACCTAGGCCTAGAACTGGCACTTTGTCACTTCTGCCACATTCTAGTGGCTGGGGAAAAAAAAAAAAAGGCCAGCTCACATTCAAAAACTGGGGGAAAATAGACTCTGTCTCTCGATAGCGATAACTCAAAGTCACATTGCAGAGTATGGATATGGGGCTGGGTGGAAACCTAGGATTGTTTTTGCAACTGTTATACCACGACATTCAAATGAATGTTGTCTTTCAGAGTTGTCATCTTTCAAAGCTCTAAACTCATTCCAACGAAGTACGAACTAATTAAAAAAGAAAGAATTAGAGCCTTTATTGGAATCTCCTTTTAAAGGGGGGTGGTGGTGGTTATAAGCCAATTAAGAAAATCAGTTTTTTTAAAAGATTTTATTTATTTATTTGAGAGAGAGAGTGAGAGAGAGAAAGCACGAGAGGGGGAAGGTCAGAGGGAGAAGCAGACTCCCCGCTGAGCCGGGAGCCCGAGCCGGGTGTGGAACTTGATCCTGAGACTCCAGGATCATGACCTGAGCCGAAGGCAGACGCTTAACCCACTGAGCCACCCAGGCGCCCAGGAAAATCAGTTTGTTTTTTATAGTCACCCATTTTATGCAACATTCTTGATTCTGGGTAATTTTTGATAATTTCTAAATATCAAATCCATGAGAAAAGAATTTCAAAATTGACCTCCATCAAGACTATTTAAAAGAATGTAACCCAGACTTTGAAATCAATCCAAAAGGAAGCATTCTAAAATGTTTAACACAAAGGCAGTATCACTGGAATAAGTGGGAAGAGCATGACAAACCTGATTACTTTGAAGTGATTAACTATGTGTGTATTTTTTTCGGGAATGTTTTTTAAAACCTGTTGCTTTAAGGGCGCCTGGCTGGTTAGTGGTTTAAGTATCTGCCTCCGGCTCAGGTCATGATCCTGGAGTCCTAGGAGTCCCAGGATCGAGTCCTTCAGCAGGGAGTCTGCTTCTCCCTCTGATCCTACCCCCTGCTTGTGCTCTCTCTCTCTCTCTGTCAAATAAATAAAATCTTTAAAAAAAACAGCTTATGCAAACTCAAGGAAATTGATTTGGATTGTCCTTTATGGACAGTTATTTTGTAAATGGGTATTACATGCAACTGATGAATCACTAAATTCTGCCCCTGAAACTAATAATACACTATATATTAACTAAATTGAATTTAAATAAAATTTTTTTAAAAGAATTATGTACTTATAAAGTTAACCAAGATTTAATAGTAAATTTTGTGTTAGAATTTCCATCAGCTAGTCGTATATGTTTGAGTCTAAACCTCCCTCAAGCTGACGGTGAGAAATTCAGGTTATATGGAGTCTGAATATATACACTTTAGAAAGAACTCCTCTTTTGGGAAGTTCTCTTTGAAGTCAGCAAATAGGAGCAGAAATCCTTAAGTCCCAGTATTAGCAATCTTATTCACCTTGGGGCAGCTTAAAAGAGTTTGTTAATATGAAATGTCAGTTTTTATGGGAGTCTACCTTTGAGATCAGTCACTCAATAGATTGGAGATTTGGAATCTTGGGGTTTCAATGTGTGGGCAAGTCGTTTCATTTTCCTGAATCCATCCGAATTTCCCCATCTGTAAAACAGGCATGGGAATGCCTACTTGCAGGTTGCTTCATGAATCAGATGGGATAAAGTAAGACCAATGCCACTAATAAATAATCCTCATGGTTTGTGTTTTTTGAGAACTTCCTGTGTGCCAGGCCCTATTCTAAGGATTTCACACGTACTCGCTCACTGTATCCTCTCGGAAATCCTAGAATCTCTATTTTTCAGTGAAGGACATGGAAACACACAGTACAGTTGACCCTTGAACAGCATGGGTTTGAACTGCATGGGTCCACTTATATGTGGAATTTTTTTCGATAAATACAGTACTGTAAATGTATTTTCCCTTATGATTTTTTTTTTTAAAGTAATCTCTACCCGCAATGTAGGGTTTGAACTCACGACCCTGAGATCAAGAGTCACACACTCCACCAACAGAGCCAGCCAGGGGCCCCTATATTTTTTCCTTCCTTATGATTTTCTTAATAACATTTTCTTTTCTCTAGCTTACTTCATTGTAAGAATAGGGTATATCACACATCTGACATACCCAACGGGTGTTACGCGATTGTTTCTGTTATTGGTAAGGCTTCCGGTCCATGGTAGGCTATTAGGAGTTAAGTTTTGGGGGAGTCACAAGTTATACGTCGATTTTTGACTGCACAGGGGTGGGGGGGCGTTGGTGCCCCTTGCCCCCATACGGTTCAAGAGTCCACTGTATATGGAAACTCTTTGAAAGCTCTGAAACACATTAAACAAATGTAAACTATTGTCTCAGTTCTCCCCAAAGTACACTTTCCCTTATTGATTGAGCCGAAGTCCGGGAATGCGAGCACCATTCAAAATCCAAATCCGCGTCTTGCTCCACCTGTATGAAAATGTTCTCTTTCGCCCTCTAAGGTCTCCGGGGACTACCATGATGGTCACCGTGGTATATGATAACTCTGAGGCGACGGAGCTGTGTGCGTCTCAGCACCTCTACCTCAAGCCCATAGCAAAATTGATGATCAATGTCTTGCTGCCAGAGAGCTCAGAACCGACGCGGCCCTTCTCCAACTGGGAAGTGCTTGACCAGCTGAAGAGCCTGATCTGCCCTGACCAGTTCACCACTGTTCGGCTCTCCAAGAGCACAAAGGACTTCATCCGATTCGAGGGCGAGGCTGAAACGCGCAGTTTGGTTCAGATCTTGAAGGCCAAGTTACATGGGAAGATCATCAAGCTGAATGGTTTGAAAACAGACTTAAAAGTCGTGGCTACAGATGCCCAGGGAGAGTGGGAGCGCTTCCCCAGGGAAAAGGAGGCCTCAGCGAGTGATGGGGCCGAAGAGCAGGACCAGGACAAGAGCCCAGATTCGATCTATTTCGAAGGCTTGCCCTGCAAATGGTTTGCGCCCAAAGGCTCCAGCGGGGAGAAGCCCTGTGAAGAGATCCTTCGGGTGGTCTTTGAGAGCTTTGGGAAGATCAAGAATGTGGACATCCCTATGCTGGATCCTTACAGAGAAGTGATGACTGGTGGAAACTTCGGGGGTTTTAGCTTTGGCTTGCAGACGTTCGAGGCCTTTATCCAGTACCAGGAGTCGACTGACTTCGTGAAAGCCATGGAGTCCCTTCGAGGGATGAGGCTGATGTTGAAGGGAGATGATGGGAAAGCTCTGGCCTGTAACATCAAGGTAAGAAGTAGCCAGAATTTCTTTCCTTTCCCATCATTCGGGTGGTCCTGAGCAAAAGCTGGAAGGAAGCATCTTAAGGAAGCATTCCTTAAACCCCATTAGGCTCTGATCAGTAGCTGATGTAGAGATTTGTGTTGTCACTCATAAATGGATGTTTAAGAAGAAAACTAATCCTGATGTGGACATTCTTCTGCCAGCTATGGTTTGGAAGGGATGGGTCTTATAATCCGGGGTCCTGCCCCAAACTTCTTGAGGGCACTGAAGAATTCTTCTGGCCCTCATGGAGCTACCTCTTATGCATGTTCCATCTGACGAGTTGCTGAGAGAGAGGATCCATGCAGTTTGAACCCACGGGAGAGCAGGTTACTCCCCTTTACTCTTGGGGGCAACAACTTACATTTTCAGGATGTCTGTCAGGTAAATTGCTGGAACATTCTCTCAACAAACTGGGCTCCTTTCCTTTCAAGATCATCCTGTCTATCCAGTCACGCCACCTCATTGATGTCTGAACGCTTGGCCACCTCCTTTTTGACCTCTTAATCCAGCAGAGGAAAAGATGCAGCTAAATACTCCTTATTCTCTCAGTTAGCCTTGAGCATGAATTTGGATTTTCAGCTTAAGTAGCTTCCTATGTATGAGTGTGTGTGGTGTGAAACTACTTATGTTAAAATACATCTTTTAAAATTGTGAGCTATTCAGCCAGACAAAAGATAGAACACGTACTATAGTGACCACCCATGTGCCCACCGCACGGCGTAAAAAAAGAAACATCCCCCGTGAGATGAGACACCATCCCCCTCCCTCCCCGCAGAGGTGGCCGTGATTGTGAATTTGGTGTTTAGCATTCTTGTGTACATTTAAAGGGCTATTTTTGCCTCCTTTTATTTTTTAAGCAAATTTGTTTGTAGCACCTTGACAGGACTTTTACTTCATTTTGGGGATTTCCAGAGTAGCTTAATAATCACTACAGTCTGATCTCGTATCCCATCAGGTCAGTTGTCTTGCATCTTTGCTTCCCCGATCCTTCCTCCACCCCCAAGCATTTTTTTTTTTTTTTTTTTGCCTATTTTTGTCTCTGGCGACTAAAATACCTGAACTCAGTTGATCTTAATAACGAGCCAGAGGTAATAAACTCACATCCCTCAGAGCCTGTGCCCATAATGACACGGTGATGCTGTCTATAGCTATATGAGAACTCCTCAAGGGTTCTGCCGAAGACAGTTCTAGAACCCACAGGGCTGTTGTGCAGGTGACCAAGAAACAGCGGAACAGTATGGGGATGGGGATGCGGGGAGGACATTTTGAACTCGCCAAGTTTTGAGTTGTTCTGTACATACTGGTTTCATTTCCCTGGCCTGGGACACACCCAGCCAGCTGGCAGACTTTTCTAATGGAACTCTGAATTGTTTGTGGGCAGGTTATGTTTGATACAACCAAACATTTCAGCGAAGGGGCTATAAGGAGGAGAAATCAAGAAAGGCTAAAGTTACAAGAGCTGGAGGAAGAAAGGAAAAAAGTAAAGAGAGACGAGGAAGAGGCTGCAAGGTGAGGAGACCAACGTTAACCAAGAGGGGTTTTCACTTGTGACGTGTGGGTTTGTTCCTTCGGGTGACTGGCTGCACTCGACAGATAACATTGAGGGGGGAGGTGGCAGGAATTGGTACAGAAATGGAAAACTCGGCAGAAGCCCACAGTCTTCGAGCTGTGCTGTCACAAAACCAAAATGGCCAAATGATTGAAAATGAGAAACTTAAAAAGAAAGTTCTCAGGGAGAACAGGTAATGAGCTAGATTAAGATATCTTACAGTGAAAATCCTAGCCCACCGAATTAAAAAGTTGACCAGTTTACCCCAAATTTACCAAAGTTGACCTTGCCTACTAATTTAAAATTTAAAAAAAAATCTTTTTAGGTCTGGGAGAGATTTTCTTGGTCAACAGTCAAAGCAAGCCCTTGACAGGAAGGCATGGATTTCTTGGCCTTCTATTTCTTGTTGGCTTAAGTTCTTTCGGTGAATTTGAGGAGCCTCCGTGTTTATTTCTTTGAGCTTATCCTTGTTTCCTAATTTAGGGAGTCGAGCCTAGAAAGGGCTATTGGATTGCCAGAGGTTTGCCAAGAAGGTACAAATGGGCTCTCAAAACCAGTTTTGCCTCTTGGCCCCTCCCCTCGCGTGTTTATTCTTTGAGTCATGTAAATTAGAGTCATTCAAAAAAGGAGATAAAGAGTCCCCTTCCGTGTGCCTTTCATTTTTTTGGCTGGCGGGGTGATAGGAATTGCCTGAGATCATGTCTGTGAAACTCAGCCAGAGTTTGAGCCCACTCAAGGCAACTATCCCCCCAAATTTCCGGACTAAACATGCAGTTGAGATAATCTTCCAGCTTTTGGCTAAGTCCTCACTCAGGTGATTGTCCCTTCTTTCCCCTTCCCCACGGTTCCATAAGGGCCCAAGCAAAACAGTTTAATTTTTCGGAAAATACCAGTAAACAAAGCCCATATTCTCCTAAGCCAGTATGCTTTTATGATAGTGTCCTGTGTTAAGTAATAGGTACCAAGGACCAGTTCTCAGCCATAAGAGTTTCTGAGTGCCTTGATTTCCCTTTATTTATAAGCCTACTTAAAGCCAGCTCCATGGAAGGTTTTGATCTCGGAGAGAAATGAAATCACCACTGTGATGGCTAAATCCACAAGCTGGACTGCTGGTGGTTTGAGAGAGTGGGGACTTCTAGAAGCCCCTTCTTTGAATTCTGTAGCCTTCTTCTTGTATACTCTCTCCTGTACCTGCTTCTAACTGACCAGCTCAGTTTTGTGCCCTTCCCCTTTGACTGATGCACCAACGGTGTCTTATTCCCTAAGTTGTCTAGGTCAAACCCTGGGGTTAGCACTGCATGATTCCGGGAAACCTAAATGATCCGTGCCCCCCCCCCCCCGGCAATGGGGAAGGAGCTGGAAGGAGAGCTCATGCCTAATCCATGCCTTCTGAATGATTGAATCTTAATCGTTGTCCAGAAAAAGAAAAGAGGAGGAAAGGAGAGCCCAGGAAAAGAGGAAGAAGGCCAGGGTGAGGAGACGAGGCCCGAAGGAGAGAGACAGACGCCGGCACAGGAAACCCAAGGCCCGAGCCCCCGCTGACAGCGCCCGGGAGCCCGACTCTTCGGAGGGATGGGAGGAGCGGAAGTTCCTCCTGGCCCAGAGGCGGGTGGAGGCTCTCCGGTTGCTCCGGGTACTCTTGAGGAAACTTGCAGTAAGGCTCTTTCTCAATCCGTCTTCATGTTTGGTAGGTACCTGATCTTTCGGAGACGCACTTTGACACTGACGCCATGGCCCATTTAAAATCGACTCCATGGAAGACTCTTTGCCTTCCTTGGGGTTTGTTTTGAATAGGCTGATCTCCAGTAAACCCAACTGTGGATTTACAAAGGGGGGGGGCGCCCAAATGCTCAACACAGCTGTGTCTCACCCCTGAGGTCTGGCACACCCACACTTTGTGGTCCTGAGCTCTGGGACTGTGCGACCCTGAGCAGGATAGCTAGTGAATCTACTCCTCTAGGCTCCTAATGCCAGGGGGTGGGGATGGATGGCGTGGGTGTTACGTTGGTAGGAGTCTTCCATTAACTTGACTTGTCCATTCATCTGCAACGGGTCTGGATGGAAAGGAAGAGCCTTGGACGGAGACCTTTGTGTAGTGAGCTCCAGTTAGTCTAGTCTTAAACTATTTGCTAAGGAATTTCTGACCTCACAGAGCAATTTGTTTTGTTTGGAGAGTTTCCATTTTGGAGTTTCAGGGTTTTGGGGTTTTTTTTGCCCCACTTTACTGACCTCCTAAAGAGAACCAGATTCCCGCAGATGGCCCGGAGGAAAGGCCTGAAAGGTTCCCAGATTGTTCATTTAAAAATGCATATTTAAATATGCAGAGTGAACGGCATCAGGATCAGATAAGAGGTCCTTTCATGGATATCTGCATTCCCAGCCTTTCTCTCATGAATGCAGACGACCAACCTTAGTGAAATCAGGATCAGAAAAATCTCGCATTTACATTTATAATAAGGCTTGCTGAATCTTTTTAATTTACCGTGATGACCTCCAGGGGTGACTCCTTTATGAGAATTTGTCTCTTTAAATGGACTTGGTGCCTAACTCTTGGCCCCACTGATGGGGCCTCACACTGCTGACGCAGTCCCTAGGTTCGAATCCCGGGTAATGGGTAGGCACTGTCCCGAGGTGCGCCCCGTGTGAGCCCGAGCACAGGGTGATCTCTCCCAGCAGGGTGGGGCCCGTGGGTGACCTTTCACTTGGCCTGCAGTTCTGCAGAGCAGACATCACAGACCAACCCATTGCCACGGCCACACTTTATACCTGCCGCTTTGCTTCCAATTGAAGCAGGTGAGGGGGTACAGCTCAGGGACATCCGCACCAGCAACCCATGGGAAGAGGCTGGGATGACAAACAGAGGCAGGTTCTCTTTTAAACCAGTTGATTCCCTTTTAGACACACATTTCACCCATCAGTCTTTTCCTGTTCTAGGATTTTCTGGGAAGGCTGTAGAGCATTTCTTATTCCTCTTTCTATCCCCAGCCCCTAGCCTAAGACCTGGAACTGTAAGTCCTCACCAGTTTGTGAACAAATAAAAAAAAAAAAGGGGTCATGTGCTTTGAAGGTACCTAAATCGTGGCGCACAGACCTCCATGCAATATTGTTCCTAATTTGGATCTACCTTACGTGTTAGAAACCTCTTCAGGGGCGCCTGGGTGGCTGGGTCAGTCGGTTAGGCATCTGCCTTCGGCTCAGGTCATGATCCTGGGATCCTGGGATGAGTCCCGCATCGGGCTCCCTGCTCAGCGGGGAGCCTGCTTCTCTCTCTCCTCCCCGCTCATGCTCTCTCTCACTATCTCTGTCTCGCTCTCTCAAATAAATAAATAAGATCTTAAAAAAAAAAAAAAGAAACCTCTTCAGAACCACGTCAGAAAGCCCAGTTTTCTTTGAGATTTTTACACTGTGAGGTTTTTCATGCGAGATTTTAACCTTTTTCTTTAAAGGTATCCACACAGTTTAACCCACGGGGGGTAGATGACGCAAGCCCAAAAGTGAATCATGCTCCAGGGAACACGTTGGAAACTCTGAAGAAAGAAGAGTTAAACACTCAGTGTCTTCAAAATCAGGAAGAAATGCCAAAATATCAGGTTGCCAAGTCAGATAATAAACGAAAACAAAAAATGAAGAAAAGAACTAGGGCTCACTTACGTAAATCTTCCCACCACCTTGGGAGAAAAAAAATAAGATATTCAGCTAGAAAAGAGAGAACTGGAAAATTATTAACTGAGGAATACAATCACAGTCTGGTCTCTGACCAGAATTCTTTGCGGAATGCGATGATTCAGGATCAGTCTCTTGAGAAAGAAGACCACTGCAGTTCTAATAAATCCAATTCTTCCACATTATTTGAGCCAGACCATGACAGGAAACAGAAGATCTATGAAACAGATGAATTTATTGATTACCTATTAAACTACTATCAAACTCCAAAGTATGCCCGGATCTGCCTAGAACCAAGTGACATAGCAAGCCCATGTCAGTGGCAGAGGGCTGTCCATGCTAAGGGAAATGGATTTCAGATCAATCTGAGAAAACGTAAACATCACTCCAGCAGTCTGAGCCAAATGCAAAACCTGGCAACAAGAGAAAACCTGGTTCAAGAAGATGACTGCCCATCAGAGATCTGTACCAAGGATCTTGAGCATAAACCACAAAAGAGAGGAAAAGTGGATTATGCCAAAGCATGGACCAAGGAGTTAAAAGATCATTGCCAGGACACAGCTAGTGAAACTGGTGATCACCTGCCCCCAGCTGATGGAAAGAGCCATCTGTTGGAAAAGACGCAAGCTTACCAGGTCAAAGATTCCAACTCCCCAAGTCAGAGCCCCGTTTCCTCACCCAGCCGGTCAGCCGACTTAGATTTGGAGTTGACAGATTTCTTAGAGGAAATCAGTAGTGATTCCGAGTGCTTTAGTGAAATCCTTAGCATAAACAAAGAGGAGAAAGTGAGGTCTGTGGCCACAGATGATAGCTCCCCAGAAAAAAGATCTCTTGATGATGAGATCACCACCAGCGATCGAGAAATTAGGGCACGTCTGCAGACCTTGTCTTCAAAGTGGAACCGTCATGGGGAGCACAGCTCCTCTAAATCCAAGCTGAGGAAACCAGGCGAGAGGTCCAAGTATGAACTGAGATTTTCATGGCTGGAGGGCGAAAACAGTTCCAGTAGAGGTGAGAAGAGCACCAGCAAAAGGAGGGCAACGCTAGCCCCCAAATACTTGTTCGACGAAGGCTACTACCACCAATCCGGTCCTAGCAGTCTGTTGGACCACATCACAAGGAAGAGGAGGAGGTTCAGCGACAGCACGTCTGGCCGGCAGGTGCACTACGGGCCCGCTCACGTGCCAATGGCATCATCCAAAAGTGCTCATGTTTTCTATGTGGGGGATTTGCCCCAAAGAAGAGAGACTCCACGGAAGTGGCAATATAGCCAGGAGGCCAGAAGGTTTAAAAGACACGAGCATTCTAGAGAGTCCATGCTGAATTCTGGTAATTCTTATATTAGACATAACAGTCAGGAGCCCCTCGACTACGGAAGCTATTTTGGAAATGGCTACACTAGTTCTCTATATTTTCAAATGTTTTGAAGGCCTCTTAGATCAGAAACACCCCCATTCTCAGCAAACAACGTGCAGGATAGAACATTTAAAACCAAATACAGTTATGTGGTTAGCAACTACAGAGAAAGAGAGCAGCACCACTTAAGAGCTTGAGCAAGGTCAGATGCAAAATCCTTTCTCTTGCCAAAGTATGAAGCATAAATGACTGCAGGTGTGTTGGCAGACTTTGAGAAATAGGAAACATCCAGATTCCAAAGGTTGGCAAAACAACGGGCCTGTACAACTCGATCCAAGGACAGACTTTTCTACAGTTTGGCTGCACCCTGAATCTGGTGCCAGGGAGGAAGCAAATGAGCACCGCGAGGAGTCGATAGCCCTCTGTGGCTCTCTGGCTATTAGAACATCATCATTTAGTGTCAGCTGTCTTCAAAGGGGACAGCAGCGAATGGCATAGGATCTTTTTACAAGTGCTTGAATTGGGTCAGAAACGCCAGCCACAAAACTGTCCTGACTTTTATCTAGAAATAACTGCAGGTAGCAGAAGAGACGACAGCTAGAACACATCATAGACTTCTTTGTGACATTGGAAGGTTTCGTGACCACCCACCAGAAGGAAATTAATCTCATTCGTATGTTCATAGTACTCAAAAGAGTTGTCCTTTGAGAAACGGACCTTGGAAGAATCAACACAAAGGGGCTCGGATTGTCCTTTGAGGCTTAAACGGATGGTGGACCATTCGCGGAGCTGTTTTTGGAAGAACCCCCACCCCCAAGTCATTCCATCCTAGAAAAGCAAGAGAATTGAAGTAAAATGACCAGTGGGATTTGCAAAAGGCAACGTGGAAAGATCCCGGGACACCACTAACGGCACTTGGGAAGATAGGACATGGCAGTATTCCATTTCAGGTTATGTAATTCTTTCACTCAGGGATGGGTGACATCAGTTTGTAAAAAGCCACTGACTATCCCCGAACTGACTTTTATAAAACATTAACAAGTGCCTCCTCAATCCTCAGTAATGCCATGGAGTTAGGAGGAGTCAAGGGCAAAGCCCTAGTTTTCTAGCTGGGGAAAAATGGTATGTGTGCAGGATTTGTAAACTCTTAACAGAAGCAATTTATCTTTTTACCTACTGGTTTTGGACTTCTTGAATATGTTTTTAAATGGAGATATTTTATAGATTCGTAAAGACTTACATCTTAATGCAGTGCATGTTCTATTGAAAGCTCGGCTGATTCATTCTGCCTTATATAGGATTTAGGACCTCAGGGGCAGGAGATGACCTTCTTTTTTTTCCCAACAAAGCTATACCTGACTCGGCAGTGGGAGACATCAATGAGATCTCCGACTGGCTGTGGCAGGAAAAGGAGATTTCCATTCACAGAAGTAGTGGAAGGCAACATTTTCATAGGGCATGATTCATTTCAGTCTTAACTTGACATTCTGTAGAAAAGTACCAGCTGGTAGGGCCAAGGGTAGGATGCTGGCCAGTGTGGTTGCCCTGAATGACGAGGCACGTTCTGTGCTCAGAACCAGCCCCTTGAGCAGCCTGATACCTGAAGGGGCTACGCCATCTTCTAATTCACCGGAAGTTAAGAACCACATTGTTTCATCGATCTCTTCTAATCACATGTAATCAAGATATGCTAGTTCATGCAAAAGTTCAAAAATGAATGTAACGTAGCAGGTCATGCTTATTATTAATAAGACAATAACTAATGAATGATTTGTGGGCTTCCATGTATTCAGTTCCACTTTCAAGCTAGTGACTGCCATCAAAACTAGGTTTGGCTTGTCACATTTGAAAAATCGCTCATGGGGTGAGTGCCTTTTCTCCTCGGAGGACTAGCAAGGACTATTAATGTTCAAAGTACTGTTGTCCAGAGTAGCCTTTTAAAATGCTAAGAGCTTGTATTTTGTCAGACAAATATTGGTAACTAGGTATTTTGTCTCCTCCAGTGAGACCCTGCCTCATTTTTTTTTTCTTTTTTTTTTTCATGTTTCATGCCATTGAAACAAAGAACATCAGGGGTTTGTAATGGAAAGCAGTTATGCTTGTTTTGAAAACAATTTCTTCATTTCTTCTGCCATTAGATAATTTTTCTTTGCAGAGATTTTTAGGCATGAAAACAATTTGCTGCTCAGTAACCAGACATAAAAGAAAGAAAGTGCAGAATACAGCATGTGCAATTTTGGGGGGGGGGGGCATATAATAGAACTGGTGCTAAGTCACTTCTATCTAATATTTTATCTGGTTTTGTTTGTTTGCTAAGTACCATCCTGGGGCCTAGAAGTAAGTAAAAATACTGGTTTCATGTTTACTCTCTGTACAACCTTGGATTTTTATATGTCTTGTGGTAATGCGTTTTAGATTTGAATACACCTTTTTGTGTGTGTGTAGGCCTTAAATGAGGAAGAGAACAATTCATCCTGTACTTTTCAGTGGAATGAATGGCTTAGTAAGGAATGAAATAGAACCGAAAATATTGTGATCACTTTCTATTAATTAACATTGTTCTTCTTCGTTGTGCTGTTACTTAAGTGGTGCAAAAGTATTTTCTCGTATCTTTTTTCTATGACCTATTAAGTAAGTAAGGGCCTGAACTTTAAACTCTGTCTTTTTAAATAGGTGTTTTCATGTGTTTCCCTTGTATGTGCTGCTGATAGCGCTTTAAGAAAACTAAAAATCTGTCAATGTCTTTTTGTTCAATTTGTTTGAATTTCTCAGGTAGAAAGCCACATAACCTGGTAATTTTGAAAGTAAGAACCAAATAAATGTATTTTTATTTGTTGCAAGACTGTTTAAACTGTTTTAAATAAATGCTAATAATCCCACTGGCAGGGGGCGGGGGATGAGTTTCTACTTGTGCTAAGCTGCTTTGCACTCCTGTGGCCGACCCTTTGTCTCATTTGCATTGTTAGAGAAATAGTACATAGTTAATTTTCAGATATATTAAAAATAAAATGGTCGTGGTGACTGGAGTCTGTTCATTTTTTTTTTTTTAAAG